CTTGCTGTGCCCCCGGGTTATGACGACCCCCAATAAAGGAAGCAAGGCCTTGAAGGTAAGCAGGCAGGGTGGGCGCCTCCCGGCTGGGGCAGCACCGGGATGGGGGCTGCCGGGCCGTGACCTGTGCCCCGTGCCCTCAGGTGAAGCGGGAGCCTGGCGAGAATGGCACCAGCCTGACGGATGAGGAGCTGGTGACCATGTCGGTGCGGGAGCTGAACCAGCACCTGCGGGGCCTGTCCAAGGAGGAGATCGTGCAGCTGAAGCAGCGCCGGCGCACGCTCAAGAACCGCGGCTACGCCGCCAGCTGCCGCGTGAAGCGGGTGACGCAGAAGGAGGAGCTGGAGAAGCAGAAGGCGGAGCTGCAGCAGGAGGTGGAGAAGCTGGCCTCGGAGAACGCCAGCATGAAGCTGGAGCTCGACGCGCTGCGCTCCAAGTACGAGGCCCTGCAGACCTTCGCCAGGACCGTGGCCCGCGGCCCCGTGGCGCCTGCTCGGGGCCCCCTGGCCGCCAGCCTGGGGCCCCTGGTCCCTGGCAAAGTGGCTGCCACCAGCGTCATCACAATAGTAAAGTCCAAGACGGACGCCCGGTCGTAGGGACGCACGCTGGCCCAGGCGGGTCTGGGAGGGGCCGTTAGGCAGGCGGCGCATCCGGCAGCCCTGTCCCTTCCTCCTCCTCTCCCAGTCCTACCTCCTCCCTCCCCTGCAAAGCACAACCTGCACCCCAGGGGCGCCGGGCTGAGCCCTTGATCTCGTCGTCGTCGTCGTCGTCATCGTGTGTTTTGTACGTTGGGATTGGTCAGTTCAGCGGTGACTGGGGTCGCCCCTGCCCCCTTTGTACCCAGGCCACATGGCTTGGAACCCAGAGGTGGCCCTTGGGGAACAGAGAGAAGGAGCGAGCGAGCTGTGGGACTTGCATGTCCCTGAGCAGGGAGGGCTCCAGGGCAGGGGCTGCTCTCTGTCCTGAGTGGCCCCCAGGCCCTGGAGGCTGCCGGGCTGGCAGGGGGCTGGGCAGTTCACTCACAGATGGACCCTGCTCCTCGGAGCAGGGTGTCCTGAGGGCCCTGGACAGGCGGGCCACCAGCCTGGGTGCCGGGCATGGGGCGCCGTGTGGCTGTGGGCCAGGGGCCTGGGCACGCTTGCCTGGCGCCTTGCACTGAACAAGACCAAATCACTGGTTGTGAGCGTACGTGAGGGTGTGTCCAGTGTCCTGCGATGGTCCGTGTCACTGTTTACATGACCTATTTGTGTGGTTACTAGCCCTTTATTTAAAAGAGAGAAGTTCCTTTTACGAAGTTATTAAATTATATGTTTAAAAGCTAAAGGAAAAAAAAAAGCTGCAGAGTATTTATAAAACTGTCTTTTTACAAAAAAATAAGAAAAAAAACAAAGCGAGAACATTTGACCCTATAAATGGAAAAGGGAAGAAAGTATAATAGAAACTTTGCTAGTTTAAAAAAAGAAAAAAAAAAGCCCTTTCTTGTAAACTTACAGACAAGTCTTTGTGGCTGTTGAAGTTTAGTTTTTATATACACAGAGTTATCAGATGTTATTTATAAAACTTAGTTTAAAAAAGAAAAAAAAAAGCCAAGCCGCGAGCGACCACAGGCGCGTCCCGACGTCCTCCTTGCTGACTTGCAGTTGTACCGAAAGTGACTTATCCCCTCCGCTTCCGGCCGGGGCCGCGGCGTCCGTGCCTGGTGAGGTCTTGTGCAGCGTCTGTGCTGGTGCTTCTGGTGACCTTTGACCTGTGGGTGTCACTTGTGTCTGTTTTCCTGTGTTTGTTTTTGGATTTGGTTGTCTTTTGCTTCTGCTGGCTTGCTGGGCGGGGGCTGGGGTGCCGGGCGGGACCCGCTCCAGCAGTTTGGGGGGGTCTGTGCCCACCAGCCCGGCCCCCCCCACCCCCCGTCCGCCCCAGGCTTCCAGGGGGTCCCACCCCTGCTGCCCTTGCTCTCGCATGTGTGTGTCAGGTTTGGGCTGGTCCAGCCGTGGGGCAGGTGAAACGGAGTTATCCCGGGGCCCCCCCACGCTGCTTCCCTGCCCCCACCCTGGCCCTGGGTGGGGTTTTGCAGACCAAGGCATCAGTGTCGGTGCCCACGGGGCCACGGCCACGCTGCCTGCCCCCCCGCCGTCTTCCTTCTGGTGTCCAGTCAGCCTGCTTGGCTCCGGCCGCTGACCCCAGCTTTGTTCCTCTAGGCTGCCCACGGGCCTCGGCTGGGGCAACCCAGGGCCCCCCCTTTCCCTAGGACTGTGTGTGCTGCGGGGCGGTGCTTCCTAGGCAGGCCCAGGTGGTTTGGGGGCCCACCTGGGGTGGCTCCTGCCTGCCTGAGGGCCTGGGGGTCTCCACAGTGTCAGACAAGGGCTAGCCTCCAGGGCCAGGGCTGTCCCTCCGCTCCCCTGAACGTGCTGGCAGCTCGGCCTCGGGCCGTCTTCCGCCTCCTTCGGGATCTGTCTTCCAGGGATCCGATGCTCGGCTGTGGAGGTCCCTCTCGGGCTGAGCCCCCTCCCCCTCCCGGCCGCGGTGGAGGCAGCCGTCTCCCAGATTTGGCTTGGAGAGCTCCGTGTGGGCCCGTGACCGGGGCTGCCTGTGGTGTCTGCCCCCAAGAGGCTCGTGCTGTCTCTGGGCCTTGGCCTGTTCTTGGGGTTGCTGTTGGCTGCTTGGGGGCCCTGAATCCCTGAAAAGCACAGATGTGCAACCGTGCGGCCTGGCAGGGCCTCACCTGGTGGGCAGGGGGCTCTCGTCCCACGTGCCTGTGGGATGGGAGCAGGGTGTGCTGGCGGCTTCTGCCCTCCCTCCCGATGGGCTGCTCCGCGTCCCGGCTGCTCAGAGGCGGTCTTGGCTGTGCTGGGTCAGCCTGCCGTGGAGGTTTTGACTATTGACTCCAGGTGGCTTAGTGGCCTCCTCTCCAGGCTGCCTCTGACGGGTAGGATCCAGGCGACAGGTGGTGGTGGTGGCGGCGGTGGTGGCGGCGGTGGCGGCAGCGTGTTGGAATCGCGTGGTAACAGTCAGCCCCTAGAGAGAGGTCCTGCCCATCCTGGGGTGGGAGGGACAGCATCCATGTCCATGGGCAGCTCCCGCTGCTGTCCTGCCCGGAGCCAGGGTCCATCACTGTGCACGTCTGCCGTACGTGGACTGGAGGGCGGAGGGCGGAGGTGCGTGAGGAAGGTGAGAGGAGGGGCGGTTGAGAGTGGGTGGTGCTGAGCAGAAATTGCAGGTCATTGGTTTGGTTTACAGAAGCTTCTGGAGTTGGTGAGGCCATGTCCCCGGCAGGGTTTTGGGTTTGAAGCAGCTGCCCTTGGGGTCAGGTCAGCCTGTGGGGCCCCTCCACCCTCCCCTTCACCTCGCTTTCTTCACAGTGGGTTCTGTGTCCACCTGTGACTGGTGTGTCTCTGATCCTTGTTGGTTGGTTTTTCCCGCTGTAAGTGTGTTGTGTTCCCTCTTTCTCTCCACTTTTCTGACACAGTGAATCGAGGGCTTTGGCCAGAGCCAAGAATCCCAAACGTGTCCACTAAGTAAACCATGCTGTGCTCCCCCCCACCCCGCCCTCACCCGACTCCTCCCTCACCCCGTCATGGACTCAGATTTCAGAGCAGAACCTGTGGGCATGGTCAGCTCCTGCCTGGAGCATGGCTCCAAGGAGACCCCCCGGGCCTGGCTGCTGCTGCTGGCACTGCCCTTTGTACCGGTGGGGAGACACGGCTGCTCCGTGCGGCAGCTACGAGGTGTGCTGGCTCCTGGCGGGGCTGCAGCGGCAGCCTCCGTGCTCAGTGCCCAGCCCGCAGCTCCAGGCCCGGTGGTCCAGCCCGTCTGGTCTCGGCGGCCTCCAGCTCCGAGGTGGCTGGTCGGTCAGAGCTCTCTCCACAGCTGGGAAGCCTGAGCCACAGCCTACAGCACCATTTCCGCCCCGGGACCCTGTAAGTTACTTTTTTAGGCTGCGGTTTAGTGAAAGGAACCAACACATTAACGATTTTTTTCCCCTCAGAAGCCACTGAATAATTCTTTTTGGCGCGTTTTTGCCTTCCTGTTGGCCATCTGGTTGGGGAACAGATGGGGAGACGGGTGTGCCCTTGGGGCAGATGG